CACTGGCAGAGGGTGTTGTCTCAGTATCACTGGCAGAGGGTGCTGTCTCTGTGTCACTGGCAGATAGTGCTGTCTCTGTATCGCTGGCAGAGTGTGCTCTCTCTGTATCACTGGCAGAGGGTGATGTCTCTGTATCGCTGACAAAGTGTGCTGTCTCTGTATCGCTGGCAGAGGGTTCTGTCTCTGTATTGCTTGTAGGGTGTGCTGTCTCTGTATCACCTGCAGATAACACTGCCTCAGTATTGCTAGCAGAGGGTGCTGTCTCTGAATTGCTGACATAGTGTGCTGTCTCTGTATCACATGAAGAGTGTGCTGTCTCTATATTGCTGGCAGAGTGTGCTGTCTCTGCATCACCTGCAGAGTGTGCTGTCTCTGTATAGCTAGCAGAGTGCGCTGTCTCTGTATTGCTGACAGAATGGGCTGTCTCTGTATTGTTGGCAGAGTGTGCTGTCTCTGTATTGCTGACAGAATGGGCTGTCTCTGTATTGCTAGCAGAGGGTGCTGTCTCTGAATTGCTGACATAGTGTGCTGTCTCTGTATCACATGAAGAGTGTGCTGTCTCTATATTGCTGGCAGAGTGTGCTGTCTCTGCATCACCTGCAAAGTGTGCTGTCTCTGTATAGCTAGCAGAGTGCGCTGTCTCTGTACTGCTGACAGAATGGGCTGTTTCTGTATTGTTGGCAGAGTGTGCTGTCTCTGTATTGCTGACAGAATGGGCTGTCTCTGTATTGTTGGCAGAGTGTGCTGTCTCTGTATTGCTGACAGATTGTGCTGTCTCTTTATCACTGGCAGAGGGTGCTATCTCAGTATCACTGGCAGAAGGTTCTGTGTCTGTGTCACTGGCAGAGGGTTCTGTCTCTGTGTCACTGGCAGATAGTGCTGTCTCTGTATCGCTGGCAGAGGGTGATGTCTCTGTATCGCTGACAAAGTGTGCTGTCTCTGTATCACTGGCAGAGGGTGATGTCTCTGTATCGCTGACAAAGTGTGCTGTCTCTGTATCACTGGCAGAGGGTGCTGTCTCTGTATCGCTGACAAAGTGTGCTGTCTCTGTATCGCTGGCAGAGGGTTCTGTCTCTGTATTGCTTGAAGGGTGTGCTTTCATTGTATTGCTTGCAGAGTGTGCTGTCTCTGTATTAATGCCAGAGTGTACTGTCTCTGTATTGCTTGTAGGGTGTGCTGTCTCTGTATCACCTGCAGATAACACTGCCTCTGTATTGGTAGCAGAGGGTGCTGTCTCTGAATTGCTGACATAGTGTGCTGTCTCTGTATCACAGGAAGAGGGTGCTGTCTCTATATTGCTGGCAGAGTGTGCTGTCTCTGTATTGCTGGCAGAATGTGCTGTCTCTGTATCACTTGCAAAATAAGACATCTCTGTATTGCTGGCAGAGTGTGCTGTTTCATTATCACTTGCAGAATGCGCTCTCTCTGTATCACTTCCAGTGTGTGCTGTCTCTGTGTTGCTATCAGAGTGTGCTTTCTCTGTACAACCTGCATAGTGTGCTGTCTCTGTGTTGCTATCAGAGTGTGCTGTCTCTGTACAACCTGCATAGTGTGCTGTCTCTGTCTTGCTTGTAGAGTGTGCTGTCTCTGTTCTAATAGCAGAGTGTGCTGTCTCTGTATTACGTGCAGGATGTTCTGTCTCTGTATCACCTGCAGAGTGTGCTGTCTCTGTATTGCTGGCAGAGTGCGCTGTCTCTGTTTTAAAGGCAGAGTGTGCTGTCTCTGTATCTCCTACAGAGTGTGCTGTATCTTTATTGCTGACAGAGTGTCCTGTCTCTGTACTGCTTGCAGAGTGTGCTGTCTCTGTATTACTTCCAGAGAGTGCTGTCACTGTATCGCCGGCAGAGTGTGCTGTCTCTGTATCACTTGCAGAATGAGATGTCTCTGTATTGCTAGCAGAGGGTGCTGTCTCTGTATCACCTGCAGAGTGTGCTGTCTCTGTATAGCTAGCAGAGTGTGCTGTCTCTGTATTGCTGACAGAATGGGCTGTCTCTGTATTGTTGGCAGAGTTTGCTGTCTCTGTATTGCAGACAGAGTGTGCTGTCTGTGTATTCCTTGCAGATAGCGCTGTCTCTGTATTGTTGGCAGAGTGTGCTGTCTCTGTATAGCTAGCAGAGTGTACTCTCTCTGTATTGCTGGCAGAATGGGCTGTCTCTGTATTGTTGGCAGAGTTTGCTGTCTCTGCATTGCCCTTTGCAGATAGCGCTGTTCTGTGTTGTGGGAATGTCCTGTCTCTGTATAGCTAGCAGAGTGTACTCTCTCTGTATTGCTGGCAGAATGGGCTGTCTCTGTATTGTTGGCAGAGTGTGCTGTCTGTGTATTCCTTGCAGATCTGTATTGCTGGCAGAATATCCTGTCTCTGTATAGCTAGCAGAGTGTACTTTCTCTCTGTATTGTTGGCAGAGTGTGCTGTCTCTGTATTGTTGGCAGAGTGTGCTGTCTCTGTATAGCTAGCAGAGTGTGCTATCTCTGTATTGCTGGCAGAATGGGCTGTCTCTGTATCACTTGCAGAGTGTGCTGTCTCTGTATTGCTGTCAGAGTGTGCTGTCTCTGTATAACTTGCATAGTGTGTTGTCTCTGTCTTGCTTGTAGAGTGTGCTGTTTCTGTTTTAATGGCAGAATGTGTTGTCGCTGTATTACTTGCAGTATGTTCTGTCTCTGTGTCACCAGCAGATTTTGCTGTCTCTGTATTACTGGCAGAGTGCGCTGTCTCTGTTTTAAAGGCAGAGTGTGCTGTATCTGTATCTCCTTCACAGTGTCCTGTATCTTTATTGCTGGCAGAGTGTCCTGTCTTTGTATTGCTTGCAGAGTGTGCTGTCTCTGTATTGCTTGCAGAGTGTCCTGTCTCTGTATTGCTTGCAGAGAGTGCCATCTCTGTATTGCTTGCAGAGAGTGCTGTCTCTGTATTGCTTGCAAAGTGTGCTGTCTCTGTATTGCTGGGAGAGTGTGCTGTCTCTGTATCGGTGGCAGAGAGTGCTGTCTCTGTATTGCTGGGAGAGTGTGCTGTCTCTGTATCGGTGGCAGAGAGTGCTGTCTCTGTATTGCTGGGAGAGTGTGCTGTCTCTGTATTGGTGGCAGAGAGTGCTGTCTCTGTATTGCTGGGAGAGTGTGCTGTCTCTGTATCGGTGGCAGAGAGTGCTGTCTCTGTATTGCTGGGAGAGGGTGCTGTCTCTGTATCGGTGGCAGAGAGTGCTGTCTCTGTATCGCTGGGAGAGTGTGCTGTCTCTGTATCGGTGGCAGAGAGTGCTGTCTCTGTATCGGTGGCAGAGAGTGCTGTCTCTGTATTGCTCGCAGAGAGTGCTATCTCTGTATCGCTGGCAGAGAGTGCTGTCTCTGCATTGTTTGCAGAGTGTGCTGTCTTTGTATTTCTTCCAGAGTGTGCTGTCTCTGTATTGCTTGCAGAGTGTGCTGTCTCTGTATTGCTGGGAGAGTGTTCTGTCTCTGTATCAGTGGCAGAGAGTGCTGTCTCTGTATTGCTGGGAGAGTGTGCTGTCTCTGTATCGGTGGCAGAGAGTGCTGTCTCTGTATTGCTGGGAGAGTGTGCTGTCTCTGTATCGGTGGCAGAGAGTGCTGTCTCTGTATTGCTGGGAGAGTGTGCTGTCTCTGTATCGGTGGCAGAGAGTGCTGTCTCTGTATTGCTGGGAGAGGGTGCTGTCTCTGTATCGGTGGCAGAGAGTGCTGTCTCTGTATTGCTGGGAGAGTGTGCTGTCTCTGTATCGGTGGCAGAGAGTGCTGTCTCTGTATCGGTGGCCGAGAGTGCTGTCTCTGTATTGCTCGCAGAGAGTGTTATCTCTGTATCGCTGGCAGAGAGTGCTGTCTCTGCATTGTTTGCAGAGTGTGCTGTCTCTGTAACTCTCTCTGTCCCTGCATCACATTCTGCCTCAGTACCCTGCTTTACTCCTGCACTATTCCCTACACATAGCTCTTCCCCTTTTTCTTTACTCTGCTCTGCCTCTGTACCCTGCCTTGCCCCTACACTCCATTCTGCCCCTTCGCTCTGCTCTGCCTCCATACCAGATTCTTCCCCTTTGCCCCACTTTGCCCCTTGCTCCACCCATGTACCCTGCTCTACCCCTGCACCCTCCTTTACCTCTGCGCCCTGCTCTACCCCTGTACCCTCCTCTACCCCTGCACCCTGCTCTACCCCTGCACCCTGCTCTACCCTTGTACCCTCCTCTACCCCTGCACCCTGCTCTACCCCTGTACCCTCATCTACCCCTGCACCCTCCTCTACCCCTGTACCCTCCTCTACCCCTGTACCTTCCTCTACCCCTGTACCCTCCTCTACCCCTGTACCCTCCTCTACCCCTGCACCCTGCTCTCTACCCCTGTACCCTCCTCTACCCCTGCACCCTGCTCTACTCCCCTGTACCCTCCCTACCCTCTACCCTGCTCTACCCCCTGTACCCTCCTCTACCCCTGCACCTTGTATCTATCCCTGCACAGTCCTCTACCCCTGTGCCCTCCTCTACCCCTGTACCTTCCTCTACCCCTGTACCCTCCTCTACCCCTGCACCCTCCTCTACCCCTGCACCCTCCTCTACCCCTGTACCCTCCTCTACCCCAGCACCCTCCTCTACCCCTGTACCCTCCTCCATCCCTGTACCTTCCTCTACCCCTGTACCCTCCTCTATCCCTGCACCCTCCTTTACCCCTGTACCCTGCTCTACCCCTGTACCCTCCTCTACCCCTGCACCTTCCTGTACCCCTGCACACTGCTCTACCCCTGCACCCTCCTTTACCCCTGTACCCTCCTCTACCCCAGCACCCTCCTCTACCCCTGTACCCTGCTCTACCCCTGTACCCTCCTCTACCCCTGTACCTTCCTTTACCCCTGTGCCCTCCTCTACCCCTGTACCCTCCTTTACCCCTGTACCCTCCTTTACCCCTGCACCCTGCTCTGCTCCTGTACCCTCCTTTACCCCTGTACCCTGCTCCACCCCTGTACCCACCTCTACCCCTTGCCTTCCGCTACCCCTGTGCCCTCCTCTACCCCTGCACCCTCCTGTACCCCTGTACCCTGCTCTACCCTTTCACCCTGCTTTACTTCTGTATCCTGCTCTACCTCTACAATCAGCCCTGCCCTTATACCAGTTCCAGGATCTTCTTGCATTATGTTCACCTCACATAAGGGGATCCAGTGTCCCTGGGAAGGAGATTATAAAATGCCGAATTCCATCCTTGGCCCAAGTAATTCCACTGTGATTCAGTCTGTTTGTAACAGCAGGTAATGTCTGTCTGTCTGTCTGTCTGTCTGTGCTGTTACTGAGCCATATAATACTCTGTGTTTGCTGTACTCCAAGTGTACACTTTTTATTATCCAGGAAATGTCTTTCAGCTAGAGGGGAAAGGTCTGTGTTTTATGCAAATTCAATGGGTAGAGTTACTTACCTTTGTAAATATCGCTACCTGCCCAATCCAGTAGACAATGGGATTTATTCACAAAGCATTTATTTTGCTTAACTTGAAAGACAAATCTTTTCCCTCTCAATCACAAAACAATCTCATCACTCGCACTTATGTAAATGTGTAAATATTTAGAACATTTTAAACATTGACCCCTGTGAGCGTTATTGCTGCAGAGTTCAGTGAAACACTCATGCACACTGCACATTAATGTGAGTTTCATTACTGTGCAGCTCTGTGATACCATCATACACACTGCACATTACTGTGAGTTTTATTGCTGTGGAGCTCAGTGATACCATCATACACACTGCACAATACTATGAGCTTTATTGCTGTGAAGTTTTTTGATACACTCATAGACTCTGCACATTTGTGTGATTTTTATTGCTGTGGAACTTTGCGATACATGCATGCACACAGTACACAACTGCGAGATTTACAGGTTGCGTGAGAGCAGCACTTGCAGCAAGCGCTAAAAGGGGAGAAAAATTGTCAGCAGTTTTGAACAGGCAATCTGAGAATAGAGAGAGAGAACACTATATATACATACCACTAATGGTTACTATTATCCTATAGAGCGTAATATGCCTTTTCAGGTACTATGGGAAAAGTCCCCTCACTCAATGTGCATTAAAACCCGAAATAAAAGGGTTTGACTTACCTTGAATCCAGCGACTTGCAATGTTCTTCAGCGCCCGCTTCTGACATCACTGGGGCTGTGGATAGTCCAATCACAGGCATTCAATTGCTTTCTCAGAGCATGTTCTATAGGCTGAAAAGGGGAGTGAAGCGGGGGGGAGGGACAGTGTGGGAAGAAGGGAGAGACAACAGATGTAGTTTATGCACAGATTTGACATTAGACAGCCAGGAGTTCTGGGCTTCCTAGTTCATGTGTGCTAGGGGTGCAACTTGCCACTAGCACATTATTGCCAATAACTTAGTATGTGCAGTGTTTGAAACTGCAACACGGCACACATTGACTCCTACCACCATGACCACTTCAAATAACTGAAGTGGCCATGGTGGCTGCAGTAACTCTTTAAAGCCAACATAAAGTGTTAGGGACATTTAACCTGTTATGGGAAATGACTCTGTGCGCCACAAACAGGGGAATGTAGGACAGGTGTGTCTTACAGTAAGTATAACAAACACTAAAACATAATTGATGGTCTCAGCAGGAGACGGGGTAATGGGAAATGGAATGTTAGGCATTGCTGGGAAATTGTACATTTTATGCCAAAATATTGGCGTTGGGGAGTTTTTTCCATGGCAGACATTTTGTCTTATTATTTTCTATTCTCCTGTCATTTTCTGCAATTTCTTGTTTAGTGCATAAAACTAACAGACCCTCGTACACTCATACCAAACACTGCACACGTTATATACACTGGGATTGATTTGTCCTGTTGGTAAATAGCAGCACTGTGTCCTTATTTTCAGGTGGAACAGATATTGCAAAGAAGACGTTTATAGACATCAAATACACTTCTCTGTGAAACTGAAATAGTGATTGGATACATAATATAATGAACATCCTTGTGAGGGTCCTCTGGTTGAAATACTAGAATTCATATCCTTGTCATTGAGTTACCGTTCCTGAGCAGGTACTATGTAGATTTAGCCATTTCCACTATTCTGTCGACATGAGACAATCCCAGCTGACCAGAATTGCAGAATTGTTTTCAAGAAACACATTCCTTTCTTTAAATAAGAATGAATTGAAGCCCTGCCATTGTTTATATTGTTCTGGGATGGCAACTGCATGTATTACATGTTATTAAAGTGGTATAAATATACAGGAGAGAGTATTGTGCCTGTGGGGTGGATGGAATAGGAAGAATGAGTAAAACTGGATAGAGATCATCAATCCCTAAACTTCACAATAAGATAGAATCCACGTTCTTTTAAGGGACAGCAGCACTAGTTCATTTCTCTCCATATCACCCTGTCTGGCGAGTCCTACACAAAGCTACCTTTTAGCTTCTAACTTAGTGTAAGCCTTTTTTCTCCCATCCATATCCTTTTATTGCTACATGTGTGACTGCACACAAAAATAAACAATGTAAAAACAAGAAGAAACAGATAAAAACTATATAAAAAATATTGAAAAAATTGGAAAGTTGAAAAAATAAAGTCACAACAAAGATAAAAATAGAAAAAGTGTGTATGTGATGAAAGAGGGAAAGAAAAAAATAGAATATCTATAAATACTAGAAATAGCTGGTAAAGTGCCAAATCTGCAATTAATCCAATGGAATTAGTCCAACGAACAAAGTCCTAAGGTGTTAAGGCAAGTTGGTCCACCAAACAGAACCAGAGAGAGTTAACCTTAAATCAACCCACTTGCTATAATTGTGTAGTACTTCATTTGAGTAAGTCCAGTTAAAGGACCATTGTAGGCACCGAGACCACTTCAGCTCATTGAAGTGGTCTGGGTGCCAACTCCCATCACCCTTAACCCTAGTTTTAAACTGCAATAATTAACTTTGAGGGCTAACTCCACCTCTAGTGTCTACCAGATCTCCGGCTTCTTAAACAACATTTGGTCGTCTAAACGACGGTGGACGTCCTCACGCTCTGCACAAGGGCTTCTAGCATCGCCGGTATCCCCATAGGAGAGCATTGAATAATGCTTTCCTATGGGGAGAGCCTAATGTGAGCATGGCCATTGCATGCGCATTATACCTCCCCTGTTGGCGGACGTCGGCGGGGGAGGAGCGCTGGACGCAGATAAGTGACTTGAAGGGGTTATTTACTCCTTCGGTGCTGCAGGAGAGGGCCTTGACAAAGGGGAAACCTGGAGTTTGTTTTGCTGGCACTATAGTTTCCTTTTACCTGTAATGCAGTTAAATATAGTAAGATTTGACTGCATGTAGTACCACAAAATTTCCACTTGGTGGCTCAGAATACCTGAAATTGAATAGAATAGTTCCTAGTACTCACTGTAGGAAACATTTGTATTAAATTCAAAGATTAAAAACACTCACATTTCTCAAATTAAAAAGCAGGCCCAACATGTAGGTAAAACTAGTGACCAGAGACTGGATGGAGATGATGGGAGCTGCAATCCTCCCGAGTTTTCCTCACCAAACGGTCCTAATTCGGAGACCAGAACAGCCGTTCGGGTCATGTACAGTTTGGCAACTGAATTGTGCTATTTGGTACAATATGAATTTCAAACATGGTAGTGATTAAATAAATCTCCAGGTGGACTTTACAATCTGAGATCCTCTAACTCACAGAACTTCAAACGGGAAGGAACGATGCGTCTGTTTGTATGTAAATATTCAAAGTAAAATGCAGAGTGTTTGTCAACAGGAACCAAAGTCTGAGTTCTCGCAGGAGGCTTACTTCCATATTAAGATTATAAAAGAATATAACTTGATTAAATATACTGAAACCGTGCATGATCTACGTATGTACCCCAAAATATGTGATTGCTATAGTAATGTGTAAACTCTCTCCTTCATTGATATAGGGGCAATAAGGAATCATATATATACACTAATGGCATTTGATGTTTGTATAGATAAATATAATTATCAATTATTCATCCAGGTTAGATGGATAAATTATATATACATTCTCTATAATGATATATATAACCAACCTTACTTGGTTAAAGAATATATGTAACCAAAAATGGATATTTAAAGTAATTTTAACTGACACCGGTGTAGATAAATTAAACATAAATTAATTTATTCAACCAGGTAATCAATTAAATAATTAAGGTCTTCATACCTAGGGAAATAGTGCTATCTACTGGTCAGAGTCCCCGGGGGCAAATTAATTATTACATATTAAGATATGCCCATAACCAATCAAAAGCCAGATTTTAATCCCCGGTATGTCACATATATAAACTAGGGGCAAGAACTAATAAGAGGGAATTGTGGCTAAATAGGGAGAACAATTAGAGAAAGGGATCAATAGGACCATCAATAGGGGTTCAAAGACGATCAAAGATCTTCAGATCATCTTCAAAGATCTAGGAAGATCAGAGGGTAAGAATTCAGGAGACTGACTGAATTTGGATAGATTGAGTTACAGACCAGAGCACCCTCAACGTTGGAAAAAAGTGGAAAAATATTAATAAATGAAGTGTTCCTAGCCGCGGAAGTCCTAAAATTGGTAACAGGTAAGTGGAGGTTATTTAAATCCAGGGTTCTTATTTTATTGGTTGTCATCTGTTTCAGACCAACCAATTAATAGTTGGAGGCGTGTGTATTACACCAAAACGGGGGTTCAGTATCATATTAACCTCCTCTATGCCGTGTCAGAGATTGTACTCTTGTTTCATTTTGGAGCGCTCTGATGAAATTAATTTAATACAACTTACAGTTGGTATGAATTATATGTGTATCATTTTTAAATGCTGATAACACACTCATATGTTGAACCCCAACAGATAAATCGAAATCAGAAAATAATGTATAAACAAGAGTGGAGCAGTATTGTGAAATAGCAGTTTAGGTGATAAACCCCAAACGGGTATAAATAGATTGTGAAAAATGTAAAATGTGTAATGATAGTCAGTAGATGGCCCCAGGTCGACACATCTCACAGCGGATATGAAAAGAAATACATAAATACAGATAATAGAGCAGACTGCTTTAACCCCTTAGTGACCGCAGACATACCAGGTACGTCCGTCAAAAAATGGTCACAATAGGCGTCCATAGTGCTGTCTGCAGGGGGACTGCCTCAACTGAAAGGCAGTCCCTCTGATGGTGAAAAAAGTTTTTAAAAAGTTTGAAAATAAAAAAATTAAGTTAACATATTAAAAAAAAAAATATATATATATATATATATATGAGATATATATACATATCTTCATATCTTATATCTAATGTTTTTTTTAATATATACATATATTAATATGAAAATACACTCAGAGTAAAATTATACACGTATATATATATAATTATAAAAGAATAATAATCAATTAAAAATATGTTTAAAATTGTAAAAATATATTTTTTAAAAATTAAACAATTATATACATATATATATATATATATGTGTGTAATTTTATTCTAACTGTATTTTGATATATATATTTGTAAAGTAATCACCTGTACTCCGACCGAGTAGCTTAACTTGAGTCTCGCCGTCTTTTGTCCACCCTGGATCAGCTTCTGTCCTCCTAGACCGTGTGGGAAGACCTCTCCTCCAGGAGAGCATATCAGGAACAAGTTCTTAAAAGAGCTAAGTGATTAAAGCTCAGGGGAGTATGCAGAGCATAGCAATCCCCAGTGTGAGTATAGCTGTCCCCTCTAATCACGAGACAAGACTACGTGTTGAGGGTCAAGAAGAACTGTGTTTTATTAGCACCAAAGGGCCTTCTTTTATGGAGGTCTCACACATACAGGACCGCCCATGGGGTTTTGCAGAACAACCAATAAACACGTATTATACAGTACAAACACTCCCATCAATTACACACAAACCCTTCCTCTCTGCCTGTGATACAATTATCTCAACACAATAGACTAACTTAATTGTCACAGGCAGAAAATATACAGTTCTTCTTATAACTTTAAAAGTATACATGCAATAATAATAAAAGATATTTGAAATCAACGTCCTTTAAATATAAACATACTCAAAAATCATAATATTCCGTCCAGTAGTTTAAAAGTTAGGCTGTGCAGTTGGTCTATCTTTCACTGAAAAAATGACTAAGTCCCATTCGAACGAGCGTTCGAATCTTTGAAGGGACTTAGTCTCCAGCCACATTGTCGAAGTGGAGAAGATGGTACGAATCAGCGGTGTTCGTGCAATTGGGTAGCCAAAAACAGTTCCATAGATTTGGCTGCACACACCGCTGACCGCGTTCGAATTAGTTAAAATGGCTGTATCCGAAGTGCCAATTTAAAGTTGCAACACTGCTCCAGAGTAATTAAAGGGCCAGAAACAGCATTATAAAAATCCATTATGCCCAAATCAGTTCCTTAAAGGGCAATAGATCCCAGGGGCCATAATCACATGGCAGGAGGCTGGCAATCAGTCCTGTCCAATGCCCAGTGGCAAATGGCAGTTTGTCACAATATTTATATCAAAATACACATAGAATGAAATTTTATATATATATATATATATATATATGTTAGCTACTTTTCTTATTTTTTAAAATTTATTTTAGAATCAAGGTGTTCCTCATGTATTTTTTATTAAGCATCCACCCACTCTGCTTGCCTGCCCCTCCCCTTACTGCTTACTGATGCCGGAGCCGGAAGGATATCATATTCCGGATCTGGTATCAGTGCGGTTTGCGCAAGGGAGCTGGGCAGAGAGCGCTCAGGGAAGAGTGCTCCCTCACGCGCCCGCCACCCAGCCCGCCCGGTGACACCAGGGCCAGCCTCGGGGGTACTGAGGTGGCCACACTGGTGTACATACCTGGTCGCAGGACAGCCGGGCCCCCTGGTAGGCTGGGCACGGTCGCAGCCGCGACTCCTGCGAGCCCGATATGTATGCCACTGGCATTGACTAAGCATTCCAATTTCAGTTTGATGCCATTCGCAGTGTAATAACTCCGTCTGACCTCTGAGAATCACACGTTAGTGAATAACCCTGTAAGAGACTGGGGAAGCAAGTCTGCTAGAAGATCCCAACCATGGCTTCCTAAATCCGAGTCTGCCTGGGTCTAAATGTATTTTGCTTATTTATTATATTATTATTTATTTAAACTAGTGAATCATACAGTAATAACAGAACAAGGGGTAGAGTCAGCGCTAATCCGGAAGGCAGCAGTCCCAAACAGGGAATCCCTCTAATGTCCCTGGGAATCAGATAGTAAAGACAGGAAAAGTGGGGGGATGGGTCTGCGCCAATGTGCACAATAAATATTAATATTAAGTCCAGTAGGATCTATATTGTCGCATCCAAGGGTCTACTTCAGCGATATCCAGAAGGTGTTGATGGTGTGAAGAGTAATCCAAATATGTAAAAAATAGAAGAGATCTTACTTACAATTGGCAGAGCTTAATCCAGCTCTGGTGTGAATGGCTTACAGCGGTATTATCCCCACTTTCAGGATATGCGGCAAGTGTCCTCTTCTTTGTAGTGGCAGGTAACCAAGTTGGAAAATAAAAATAGAGACAGTAATGGTGCAGTATGTTCCACACGTATGGTAAAAATGATAAAATATAGTAGATACACTCACATTCGGTAGAGCTTTGACTAGCTCTAGTTGATTAGGCGTACAGCGGTATTATCCCCGCTTGTGGGAGATAAGATGAGTGATCTTGACTTAAACCTTGGAAGCTCGGAGAGAAGATAAAACAGCGATAGTGCTCTCAATAAAATTATGGTAAATAAATAAAATAATAAAATATACTCACAATATATAGGGCAGGCTAACTGCTCTATGTAACAGCGTGGGTGGTATAATCCCCACCTAGGATTCTTTGGAGTATAGTATCCAGGAAATAAAAAATAAGTTTAAAATGGATATAAAACGTATTATTAAAAAGAAAACGTATATATAAAAAAAGAAAAATACTATATAAAAGGCCAGGTAATAAAAAACAAAAAACAAAAGATGATGGTTTAAGCATAAAAATAACCAAAATCTTTTTATTGACAGTATATAAAACAGTAAAAGTATCCAAACGCGTTTCGCCAATATGAGGCTTTATCAATGATAAGTGGTTATCAATGATAAAGCCTCATATTGGCGAAACGCGTTTGGATACTTTTACTGTTTTATATACTGTCATCATCTTTTGTTTTTTGTTTTTTATTACCTGGCCTTTTATATAGTATTTTTCTTTTTTTATATATACGTTTTCTTTTTAATAATACGTTTTATATCCATTTTAAACGTATTTTTTATTTCCTGGATACTATACTCCAAAGAATCCTAGGTGGGGATTATACCACCCACGCTGTTACATAGAGCAGTTAGCCTGCCCTATATATTGTGAGTATATTTTATTATTTTATTTATTTACCATAATTTTATTGAGAGCACTATCGCTGTTTTATCTTCTCTCCGAGCTTCCGAGGTTTAAGTCAAGATCACTCATCTTATATCCCGCAAGCGGGGATAATATTGCTGTACGCCTAATCAACTAGAGCTAGTCAAAGCTCTACCGAATGTGAGTGTATCTACTATATTTCATAATTTTTACCATACGTGTGGAACATACTGCACCATTACTGTCTCTATTTTTATTTTCCAACTTGGTTACTAGCCACTACAAAGAAGAGGACACTTGCCGCATATCCTGAAAGCGGGGATAATACCGCTGTAAGCCATTCACACCAGAGCTGGATTAAGCTCTGCCAATTGTAAGTAAGATCTCTTCTATTTTTTACATATTTGGATTACTCTTCACACCATCAACACCTTCTGGATATCGCTGAAGTAGACCCTTGGATGCGACAATATAGATCCTACTGGACTTAATATTACTATTTATTGTGCACATTGGCGCAGACCCATCCCCACACTTTTCCAATCATACAGTAATACTAGTTGAATTGGAAGATACTGCAAAGTTCCATAGTTATTGACATTTTAAATCATGTGAAATAAACTTGTAAAATTAGGTAATGTTGAGGTTAGTGAACACTCACTGTACATTATAACTATTTTATCTCTTGTGGAAGACCTACCTGTCCAACATGTCTCCTACCTCGTCTCAAGTGTATAGCTCATCAAACTGACTGCGTATCTAAAAAGAGATGGCTATGATTAGTGAGATGCTTTATGTAGAACTAATGTTACTTACTAATAAAGACAAGTAATCTATTCACTTGTTTAATATCCACTCATTTTTGTGTCATTGTCTATTCATATATGTGGCCTCTGAAATTGTATTTATCGGCTCAGCTAGATAAATGTTTCTCAAAGTCCATTAATGAGAGGGCATGCAGGATATTGAGATTATTTCTCTCTGTAGCTCTGAAGATGGAAGGATGGTAGACATTGTGTGTCAATTGGATGGGGAAAGGAGGACATGACCCTCTCTCAATGGAATTCTTCTGTTGGTGAACATATCCGCAGCTCTGCCAACACTTCTATAGATATCATTGTTTGAACTGAGCTAATTGTTATGCGTTTGCGAAAATCTACATTATTTAGATTGTTTCATTAAATCCTGTATGACATTTAGTTGACCATTTATAACTGTATTATAATAATATTTCAGTGCCATCGATAATTACATAATATTATATATCATGGTTAGTAATAGACTGAACATGCCTCAACTTATACATAATATCATAATGCAAGTAACTGAGGTATTTTTTATTTAAATATTTCAAGTTATAAGTCACTAAAGTAAGTATATGATATAAAAATAAGAAATTACATAAATCAAATTATTTTTTATTGATTTCTAGGATTTTTTGCAGAGTTCTTCTTAAGGCTTCCTTCAGATCTTTGTTCCTCAAACTGTAGATTAAGGGATTTAATAATGGGGTCAGAACTGTATAAACGATGGACACCAGGCGGTCATCAGAAGCAGAAGAACTTGGGGTGGGACGGAGGTAAGTGAAAATAAGGGTCCCATAAAAAATAAAAACTACCATAAGATGTGATGTACAGGTGGAAAAGGTTTTCAGTTTCCCTTTCCTGGTCTGAATTCCCATAACGGTACGGAATATGTGGATATATGGGACAAATGTTATACCCAGAGCCCCCGACCCCATGAATGTTCCAACAACAAACATTACCAGGACATTGATAAACGTATTGGTGCAAGAAAGCAAGAACAACTGGGGTAAGTCACAGAAGAAGCCATAAATGGTGTTGGGCCCACAAAAGGACAATCTTTTTGTACAAATGGTATGAATCGTGGAGGTGAGGAAGCCAATGGTCCAAGCTGCAGACACCATTTTGGCACAGAACTTGGGGTGCATTATTTGAATGTAGTGCAATGGCTGGCAGATAGCGATATACCTGTCGTAGGACATTGCCGCCAACAGGTACAGCTCAATGCAGATGAAGGAGAAGAAAAAGAAGAATTGGGTGATACAGTTGGAGAGGCTGATGGTCTTGTTCCTAGAGAAGAAATCATAGAGCATCCGAGGCGAGGTCACTGAGGAGTAAAAGACATCGACACAAGCAAGATTACTGAGGAAGAAGTACATAGGCGTGTGGAGGTGGGAATCGGTGAAGATCAGGAGAAGAATGAGGAGGTTGCCAATCAGAGTTATGGTGTATATCAAGAGGAAGAGCAGGAAGAGTGGAAGCTGAGCATTTGGGATTTCAGACAATCCAAGAAACAGAAATTCAAACTCGCTGGTTTTATTTATTAGCCACATGGTGTCTCATACAGCAACTGCAAAAAAAACAACTAATAAAGACATTATATATATATAACAATTTAATGCAGTGTTTATAGGGAGCAATTGCTGAATCTGTGTTCAATGATGGCACATTTTATTTTATATATTTTTTTATTTTGCTGTAGATTTTGAATTACATAGAAACATAGAAACATAGAATGTTACGGCAGATAAGAACCATTCGGCCCATCTAGTCTGCCCAATTTTCTAAATACTAGTCCCTGGCCTTATCTTATAGTTAGGATAGCCTTATGCCTATCCCACGCATGCTTAAACTACCTCACTGTGTTACCCTCTACCATTAACATTAATTAAAAGTCGCTTTTAATTAAAATGTATTTGGAGAGCAAAGACCTCTTGATGAACAAAGGGGCTGTTGGCTTTGACCTGAATCAGACTAAACATGGAATGAGTAATGTAGTGCAGTAAAGGTTTGAAGGATAAATTGTGCACATTGTAATAACTAAACTGTGAGGAGGCCATGTAATTCTGTAATTATTTGTTCTGTGTGTCAAGAAAACTGAACACGAGCCTCGCTAACCTTCCAGAAAGAAGAGTCAAAAGGGAGCACGTCACTAATTTATATAATGAGGCGGATGTTATAAATAAGAGAGTTTCATAGTGAAACAGAGAGAAACCATCTAGTAATTCTACAAAATGTACTGAATATGTGTAAACCGTCTTGGGAAATATGTGATGGGCTCAGGTCAAGAAGAAAGCGAGGTGTAGGCACAAGGTTTATAAAGTATTATAAAATGTGTTCATATTAAACAGGGCTCAATAAAATTCTTAAAACATGGAGCAATAATGCATGGCCAATAAGAAGACACGTGAAATGAGTTCTCAGGAAACACACACACACAGAAGCTTTGTATTCATAGTACAATGGACACATTTGGGGAGATTCCCCCCACTATTATCAAACCTGATATGTTTTGGAGTTATATTATTGTGACACTTTTTCATTGTTTGGGCAATGAAGACCCTGATGGGTGTCAAAAGACAATAACACATTTTTGATTGGTGTAAGGAAGCACTGTACATTTTTAAATTGTAAACTGAGTATACCCTAAAAGAAAATGTAACCTTCAATTACAGACATATCTGATACTTAATGAATTTAATGACAAACATCTGAGAATGGTTTTGTATCGCTGCAGTGAGCATAATACTTTGTGTTGTGCTTATCCCTAATACTCTACAATCCCATCAGTCAGAGGATGTGGGACAATATGAAGGTCAAACAACTCACCTTATAAAATAAATTCTAATCCAGATTAAGGAGAAAACGAGCAGTAACCTTCACCAGATACGGCCAGGAACCATTCAAGTTTAACTTTCCCTCTGAGGTCCAGAATGGTGGAGAAACGTTCATTAGGAGGTTGATGCTGTCTCACACTAGGTATAACTATCATCAGAAAAAGTTGAAAAAGATGAGTGACCTCATGTTCAGACAGAAACCCATAAGGTAGTTAGAGCGTTTTGTGTATTATAATTGTATTATTTTGGTATCTGCTGAAGATTTATTGTATTCCAATGGATACTATTTCACGGTTAATGGTGAAGCCTGTTCTCCGCACATTGCATAGCTTAGAGGGATTGCTTTATCTTAATTTGTTTTAATTTTAGGGAACACCTTATTCAAATCAACAATACGAATTTTTTTTTTCTTAATCTGTCAATGCAATATTTTCTTAAAGAGTGAAGGAGATACAGTTTAAGAAAGGTCAGTCAAACCAAATTACTCTGCATGCCATTGGTTGGATTTATTTTTAGGCAAGGGTTATTTACTAAGAGTTGGATTCTGAAAAAAATAAAAAATGTTTAAATAATAATATCCATAATAATTCAAATATAAAAAAAAATCTTCAATGCAGTTATTGCTCACAAAATGGCTATTTTCACCTAAACTCCCATTTTGCTCACAATTTACAATGTAGAAAATAAACCCTGTAATAAATTGTAAGAGAAGATGTTATGACTACACACGAACAGGACATATCTGGCTGTAAACTCACCTGAGTGTTAGGGAATACGGAATATAACTGAGTGTTCGCTGGACGTCCCAGTTACTAAATCAGGTATTATTGATACATTTCCAGTAACTGAGTCTTATTAAATCACATTCTCCGATAGTGAATTTTCTTTTCATTGGTTATTTAAAGAGACAGAAGGTATGTAGTACTAACAGTAGGTGCTTTGAAGGCATTCAATATGATAGAATATATTAATTTTGCAATCAGTGGAATGCTGGAGATGGGTCAGCTATAGTATCTGGAACACCTGACTCGTCATCTGGTAGTAAAGTCGTCTTTAAAGCATCATTTTCCCAACTTGGGACCTCATTAAAGATCTGTTTTATTAGAAAATATTTTCATCCTCAGAGATTGCAAGTCTCTAGAGCTTTCTGTTGTATCGTGCCAGAAATAAGATTAATTCCCAATGCTTCCTATGTAGAGGATTTTTTTAAAAATCTCTTTATTAGTATTTTGTATACAAAACATAAAAAAATAAAAATAAAACAATTACAATTTTCTGCCTAAGTGCACAATCTATTGTATCGCTCCTATTAAAATTGTCTTTGCTATCTCTAGCGAAAAGCTAAATATGTGATCCCTCTAAAATGTATAATTGATGATAACGATAAACATCTCGTAAGGCAGATATCAGATTGTAAACCATCTCACTGGGCACAGATAGACATAAACTGTACAAATTACACAAACAAATATCATGCTCTCCATCAGAGGGATACAGGGGGAGAGGAGAGAGTTTTTAATTTTTTTAGACTTCCCTTGAATTTATATATACTTTCCTTAAAGGACCACTCTAGGCACCCAGACCACTTCAGCTTAATGAAGTGGTCTGGGTGCCAGGTCCAGCTAGGCTTAACCCATTCTTTTATAAACATAGCAGTTTCAGAGAAACTGCTATGTTTATGAATAGGTTAAGCCTTCCCCTATTTCCTCTAGTGGCTGTCTCATTGACAGCCACTAGAGGCGCTTGCGTGCTTCTCACTGTGAAAATCACAGTGAGAGCACGCAAGCGTCCATAGGAAAGCATTGATAATGCTTTCCTATGTGACCGGCTGAATGCGCGCGCAGCTCTTGCCACGTGTGCGCATTCAGCCACATGGGAGGAGAAGAGGAGGATTGGAGGAGGAGAGCTCCCCGCCCAGCGCTGGAAAAAGGTACGTTTTTACCCCTTTCCCCCTTCCAGAGCCCGGGCGGGAGGGGGACCCTGAGGGTGGGGGCACCCTCAGGGCACTATAGTGCCAGGAAAATGAGAATGTTTTCCTGGCACTAGAGTGGTCCTTTAAAGCATGTTGATTTTTGTTTTTTATTGATTCATCCCAAAAACCATTATACCTATATTTTTAAATTTTTGGGGGTTGGAATATATTTTTCCATATTCAGGTGGTAACAAATTTGATGTTTAATTAGACACCAGTCAAGTTTAGATGGACTTTTCCAATTTCTCGCTATAATTAATTTGGCAGCAGTCATCATATGTAATACCAAAATCAGTTCTTGTTTTTCATACTAGGTAGATTAATATGTAAAAGCATCGATTCAGCTCTAATCTGTATTTTTATATTTATTGTTTTATTTATCCTTCTACAGACATCTTGCCATAATTCTTTAATGAACGGGCATTCCCACCATATATGTAGATGGTCTGTGTCCTTAGTTCCACATCTCCAGCATTCTGAAGAGTGGCTGTGAAAAATTCTATTAATCATTTTAGGGACTAGATACCATCTATTTAAAATGTTGTAATGTAGTTCATTTAAGTTCAGACAGTGAAGGTTTTTATTTACAACCAAAACTGATCTATTCCATTCCTTATGTGGGATTTGCAAGCCCAGATCTCTACTCCATTTCTCTATAGCTTTTGGAAAAAACTTCTGTTGCATTTTATATAGCAGGGAATTATCTTTAGAAATTCATTTTTAGTGTCGGTTAAATTAATGATTTGTTCATAAATTGGTTTTAATCTTTTTATTAAATAAGATCTTACTTTCATATAGTCAAAGAAATCTTTATCCGTAAGGCCTGATGTCTTTTGTAAATCAGTAGAGTTTCTGACTTTCCTGATGTAATTATAGCTTCAATGGTATTGATATATTTTCCAGCCCATGAGATTAAGTTAGTATCAGGTAATAAGTCACTTAATAATTCGATTCTAAGAGAAAGGAGGATATTCTCTTCCATGTCTAATTTTCGATTTATGTCTAGCCAGTTTTTCAGTATATGATTTAAAGAAAAGGTATCTCCAAAAAAGTTTATCCTTCTAATTTCCTGGGTTGACAGCCAGAAAATTGAGGAGATGTTCCTGTAGGGACTGATTCTCCTTACTTCAAGTTGCTGCCAATTTTCCTCTTTAGCTGAATTCTGGAAAGTGCGTATAGCATGGGTTAAAAGAGTAGCCTAAACTAATCTTAACAAAGATGGCATTCCTAGACCTCCATCTTTTAATTTTAGTTTTATCAATAATTTAGCACTAATTCTAGGTCTTTTTTTAACCCATATAAATTTAGTAAAAGAGGATTGTAGTAGATTGATCCAACTTTGAGGGATATCACTAGGAATTAGACTCAAAATATAGGTGATTTTGGGAAGAATATATGCTTTTATAGTGTTTATCTTACCCCACCATGATATTTCTTTCTTTGTCCACATATTTAGTTTAAGGTTAATTTCTCTTATTAGGGGGAGCAAATTGATCTCCATCCATTTTTTGGGGATTTGTTGAATTTTTTTAATCCCAAATAGGGGAAATATTCTTTTGCCCAAAGGTAATCAAACTTTTCTCTAATCTCTATTTTCATTTGTGGTGTTGAAAAAAGAGAAAGAGTGAAGGACTGTAGTCTTGTAGTCAGCTGTAGGTTAGGAAAGCAGAACATTCCATTGAGTATTTTATAGTTTGCCTGCTTTTGGGTCAACAGTTGGTGGCCTAGGTTAGCTTGACCTGCT